ACTGTTTCCTCGCTCTTTCTCCTTTGTTACCTGGACACGGTGAACGACCGACTAAATAAGAGGGAAATGGAAAAGAAATGGAGACGGGAAGGAGGAAGAGAGATGAGAGGGCGTGGAAAAGGGGTAAAGCATGTTACATGACATGCTGTTGGCGGAGAAACTCTACGGTATACCAACGCCCGGTTTCACTTAGTAAGGCTGAATAATGCAATATTCCTAAACTTGTGTGTGTATGTAAACGGACTCATTTCCTTATTCAAAACAATGGAAGGGTGTTAGGGTAGCAAAGTATACGGCCATTTCAAGATGTTATTTATGTATATAAATTCCCTTTTTAACCCGTTAGATTTCCTTGATCTTGATTTATCCGGATCTGTCATACATGTAAAGGAATATATATATTTGTTTCAAGGTGTTTGTGAGTCACAACACATATACATACATACATACATACACACACACGCATGTACATATATGTGTGTGTGTGTCTGTGTACATATACAGATGTTTATGTTTACGGGTCTATACAGAACCACAAAATCCACGAAAAATAGGCGACTCTACGGTATATCAGTCCATTGTCCCAGTTAGTATGGCGAGATGGTACAAGATTCCTTTGATTGTACACTTGGGTGGAAGATGCATGTGCAGCGTCGCTTTGATCTGGTGCAAATTGCTCAAAATAATTGAGAAGGCAAACGCAACACAGCTAATGAATACAAGTGCTCGAATCCACCGAGAACCGAGAACATTAATGCTACATATGCCCAACCTTTCTGGATTTTTTTTTTTTCGTTCAACGGTATATGTGTCATTTTACAATTATTACCATTATTATCAATCATTAATATTATTATGATCATCATTATTATTACTATTATCATTACTGTTATTGTTATCATTATTATAATCATTATTACTGTATTTTTTTATCATTGTTATTATCATCGGTATAACTATTATATATTATTATTATTGTCATCATTATTATTGTCATTATTATTAATATTAATATTATTATTATTATTTCATTATTATTATTATTATTATTATTATTATTATTATTATTATTATTATTATTATTATTATTATTATCATTATTATTATCATTATTATCACCATCATCATTATTATTATTATTATTGTTATTATTGTCTTTAATATAATTATCATGACTATTATTATCATTATCATTTTTCATTATCATTATCATTATTACTGTTATCATTATTATCATAATATTAATAATAATAATAATAATAATAATAATTATTATTATTATTATTATTATTATTATTATTATTATTATTATTATTACCCATTTATTATTGTTATCATTACTATTATCATTATTGTTAATATTACTATTATTATCATTATTATTAATATTAACATAATCTTATCATCATTATTAACATTATTACGATGATCATTATCATGATTATTACTATCATTATTATCTTTGTTATCATTATTGCTATTATTATTGTTCTTTTTATTATCATGTGTGCGTGTGTGTGTGTGTGTGTGTGTGTGTGTGTGTGTGTGTGTGTGTGTGTGTGTGTGTGTGTGTGTGTGTGTGTGTGTGTGTGTGTGTGTATGTGTGTGTATGTGTGTGTGTGTGTGTGTGTGTGTTTTCCCGCATGAAGAAGTAGGAAAATCAGAAAAGCTTTCCATTTCTTCCTTTTCCACTTATTCTCTTGGTTCAGTCATAAGCAGATTCTTCTAGCTTCAAGGAACACTTTTTTTTTAATAACCTGAATATCTTTAAAATATCACTACGGATTCAGTATTTTTATATAGGTGACTAGTTCTATATTCATCTATGCATGCAAATAAATGTTGCATATTCTTCAAGCTTATAAAAATGGATAATCAAATAAAAGCATTGAAATATATATCGAAAATTATATTGTTCATGTGAAATCTTCTTTGTTTGCAGTTCTATATACGGAACAAAAATGTTGAGCTGTGCAACAAGGATTCCTGCACAATGCTACTTTTTTCTTCTTCGCTTTGTGTAAATATATATAGACGGAAAATACGAGCTTAACAACGAGATATATAGAGGCATAGAGAATGTATATGAAAATGGCTAATAGGTACACTTAAAGTTTTTAGGAACTGTTAATTTGCTCCATACATTGTTTGCTCACCACTGGTAAACATCATTATTTTTTCCAAATTGTATACGTGAAGCAAACACGAGGGTGAGATGATTTTATCACACACACACACACACACACACACACACACACACACACACACACACACACACACACACACACACACACACTTACTCGTACTCTGACCACTATCACCCTTTCTCCTCCTTCTCCTCCTCCTCCTCCTCCAGCACCTTCTCCATCTCGCGCGTGGGAACCTCTCCTCTTGATTCCGGTCCTGGGAAGACTTTCGCGGAGCAGCATTTCAGGGAGATATTCTCGCGGTAGAGATCTCGCGAGACCTCGTTGAAATATTCAGGATTCGGGGCCCGCTGTCCAAGGAATGCGAGGCGGGTTTCAGAGGCGTGTGTTGATGTTGGAGATAATACCGGTGGTGGAGTTCGCGAAGATGATCGTGAATGGGACTTTTGTTGTGAAAGGGTTTGGGAGAGAGAATTATAACAGTTGATTGGGTTTTTGCGTTGTCGATTCTGAAGATTATTGTGGATTGAACTGGGTTGTGAAAAAGTTGGATGACCATAAGTATCACTGTTTATTCGTATTCTGGATTGTCGAGTTCGAAGATCGCTTTGAAATTAACTTGGTTGTGAAAAAGTTAGAACAAAAAATCGTAATAGTTGATTGATATTCTTAGCATGCGAGTT